TTTTTTTTGCATATCTGATCCATTCCTCAATATGGCAAACAGATCATGAAAGTATTTCTTTCTATGGGACTGTAAATTAAGTATATGCATTCCACTGACATCAAAAATGAAAGAGGACATGAGTAGTTAAAATCTAAACAATTCTGCAGCTCTAAAATAAGATACTTATGTTTCAAAGGCCTTTCTCTGCAAATAGGAAGGGGCATTTAGAAATGTTTTAAACATCAAAAAACATAAAAAAATGAGAGTTATCCATTTTTCATTTGCATTGCAGATGCAATTTCTCAGAAAGAATACTGGGAGAAAAAGCCTTTGATGGAGAAGTGATATGTGTTAGTATTTGCATTTCTCACCCTATTTGTCTTCCTTTACTACAAAAAATATTTAATTTAATTAATTAGATTTAGATAGCGAATGTCTGTAAGAAGCTTATTTTGGAAAGCAACTATAAAAGGAACAACATATTTTAACAGAGCTTTACAAAGATAAACTAAAATGGTAACATCAGAAATTCAGTTTCAGACAATATAAAGAATGAGGTAAATGTGAAGTGCAAAGATTCACTGTGTAGTGAAATATATATCTAAATTTTGAAGAGTAATACAAAATAGATTCTTGTGCTGTATCTGCTCTTTAGGATCACCAAGAGCTGTGGGGAGGACATCAGTCAATGGTGCAGAAGATGGTTATGGCCTGGCTTCTGCAACCTGAGAGACTCTTTTACCATGTCAGGTTCACAGACTGTTTGGGAAGCTGTGCCAGGGATGAGCTACACTAAAACAGGACTGAGTGTTAGGATAAGTGTTTTGTGTAGCAATAATGTAGTGTAGTATTATGAATAATTACCAATTATGTGTAGGGAGTTTACCCCTGTGTTAGGAGCCTGAGTTTGTTCTTCATATATATTAATTCTGAAAACTCCATAATATTTTCCCAAAAGGCTTTAAAAAAGTAGACACTTTCAACAGTAAAATATTTTTTAGTGCCTTTCCCTTTCAAAAGTTTATAATGCTTCTTGGGAGACACACAAACTAGACTCAAAATATATCTTGCAATCAAACTTCTTCAAAAATTACTATATATCCCTACGTGGCTATGCTAATTATACCTCTATGGAAAAGATACACCAAAACTATAAATAATTAAGGACCTGAAGTTAATATTTAAAGTGTAATATTAATTTGTACTGAATTATCTGTTAAATTCAAGAGGGTTAATTAGTTCATTGTTCATTTCAGTTCTGTTGAGTTCCTTTAAGGATGAATTTGGCCTAGGTTGTTTAAAATACAATATGTTTAAGAATCATTCTAATCCTTCTCTTAATCATGCAAAGTAATTTACCATTTTAAAAGCTACTGAACTATCTAATTTAATTTTTTGTGTGTCTACAGTTAAATTTTAAATCAAACATATAAATATGAAACAGGGAATCACTAATCAGATAAAAAATACTTTTCTTATTTCGAGTTTTGTGTTTATCTCTGAAGCACATTCAGAATTAAAGTCCATGTGACAATTTAAAATTGGCCATTTACTTTTTCTTTAAATTTGTTTTAGAATTCTTTGGTGCTTTGTTTCCTTTTTATTCATTTTTCCCACCAGAAAAAAAATATTGAAGTGTTTATGAAGTTACTTTCTCAGCTGGGACAAATGCTGGTTGTGCTGGCAGCAAACCAGCATCTTTTTTGCAGAACAACTTGAAGACAACTGTGCTACGGTTACCTAAACAGTGGAATAATTTTCATAGAATTCTTGCTACTGTGGCTCTGGAAAGTATGCTGCTGGTATCTGGCAATTGCCCCAAACTAATTAGTTCTTTATTTTTGAAGATGACTGTTTATTTCACAGTCGAATAAATAATGTGTATGAAGTCATTTTAGGAAAACAAATAATGTTTTGATCCGGATGCAAAACCCTTCTGTTCTGGTTTAGGGCAAATCTGGGGAGAAGCCTCTGAATGGGGTCTCTTTAGAACCCTCTGAATGGGGTCCCCAAATGGTTTGGGGGAAATTTCCTTGGAGAAAAGTGGACAAAAAGTGTTAATTTAACAAACAAAGCATCCACAAGCATAAAAAATGAATAATATTAAACAATACACCCTCTCGCTGTTCTGAAGGGATGGCAAACTCTGGGCTCGCTCAGTCTCTTCTCCGTCCCTCCTGCGCTGGAAATGCCGCGGCCCCGGCCCTGCTGGGCCCAGGGGGGAGCTCCTGGAGCCCTTCGGCTGTTCAGTGCAGAGCAGGCCTGAACAGCTCCAAGAAAAGGAAAAGCCAGAGTGCAGGGAACGTCTCTGCCCGAGCGAAAGCCAGCCGAAGCAGAGCAGAGCTGTGTCCCGCTGTCTGTCCGTGCAGGCAGCGCGGCCCAGCAGCGGGAATGCGGAGCAGGGAGCGCCGCTCCTGAGGGCGAACCGCGCGCTCCTGCTGCCCGGCCTCGCCCCAGAACCGGCCCCACAGGGGCAGAACTTCTATCCAGCACAACCAGAACAGAAACTGGGGAGAACACAAGCGTCACAAAGGTACCCTAGGGCACCTTCTAAAAAGTAGAGGAAATTAAGGGTTCTCACCACAGATACAGAATTAGAAGTCCTGACACTCATCTGCACAGCCCAGTCCATGGTGCCGATACAGTTTAATTTTTCATATTCTGCTAAGTAACAGAATCTAATTTACCACCCATTTGAGAAATACTGTGCAATCTTTAGTAGTATTTTAAAGCTGAAAATAAGTAATGGATCAGGTCTCATTTGAGTAATTTGTGGATATGAGTAAGTACATTGAGAGAGCAGAATGTGACATGTGCGAAAATGGCACTATTGTCCTTTGTACTTCTCCCACAGGCAAAGCAATGCTGCAATGAACGCTCCAAGCTCAGCAAATGTTAAGTGTGAGCTTTACACCTCACTTAAGAGACAGACAGCTGCTGCCCAACAACACAGTTATGAATTCAAGCACATGGTTAAATTCATTCCTGCATTAGTGCCACAGTTGTTCTGGAAGATAGTCAAACTCATTACATTATTTGGGCTGGAAATTTTCAGCCTCATTAAAACCTTAATTGCTTGAATGTTGCCATGAAATGAGAAAAATCTGATGGACAGTGTTCCCAAAAGACAATCCACATGCTGTTAACTGTTTGTTTAAGGTATTTTAATTGAATGGAAAATAATATAAAATTAAAATTCATGAATGAGGGAATACATGAGGATGAAAAAAGAAGACATATTCTTACAAAACTCACTTTTCTATCTGCGGTTCTTTTCTGTTTTCTGAAAGGAAAAGAAGAAACTCTGAAGGTCTTAATTCTTCTCTAGATATTTTAGTGACTTGCTAAATGTCAGTACTATAAGTCACACTGCCTTTTTGATAGTTCATTAATAACACAAAATTAACCTATATCATAAATTAGTGTTTGGTAACTAGGATGGCAACTGTCATTATAAAATGCAATCAAAATAAATGCTGTAAAGTTGGAAAATTTAATTCATAGTTATGAGTCATGAGTGATTAAAATCAGCTTCTCTGAGAGTTTGTATAGTCACTTTGGAGCTTGCTTCTGGTAAACTGGAAGAAAAAGAAGACAATGTCCTGCAGTAATTGCATTTCTTCAAAATATGTTGCGTACAAGGATCTCCCTTTTGCCGCAGAGATCTCCCAGCTGTGTCGGAAATAGCCAGGCCCACTGAGGGGCAGAGCAGCCCACATCACTGCACGGCTCCTCCCCTGAGAGAAACCTGGTGTCTGCTTACACACTGGGAGAAAACTATGGGCTCTGTAGTACCCAGCCATACTGAGTAGCTCAGAAAATTGCATTTTATCTAAAATTATGGAGGTGAAAGCCAAAGTGGTTTAATGGATCACAGTCTGCTTTGTCAGACTGAGCACATGACCTTGACGCTCCTATCGAGGACTAATGATTGATAATTATGGAAGTGGAGGTGTTTAATGATATTCCTATTATTTCTCAAGCAGTTATTGCTGCTTGAGTCCTTGCAGGTGGAGGCATAAAATCAATTGCGGAAGCCAAATCAACATCACAGATAGTACTGGTATGATCTGTTACCCACTCTGAAAATCTTCCAGCTGGGAAACAGAATGTTTTGTATCCTCACACAATTTCACAAATCTTTCCAGACACAATTCTTACTCTTTCTAGAACCCAGACCATAGGATTGTGTCCCATTGTGTGGGAGAGGCTTATGCTTTCTGGTTCTGTGTCTAACAGTGAATTATCAAAGATGACAGAAAGTCTTAAGGAGCCATGAAGTTTTTCCTCTCTGGAAATAGAACCATCTGCTCTTTTTGCCCAAAGGGCATTTGTCGGTTTCTTCCACAAAACAAGTACAATCTTGGGGAAAAAAATAATCAAGAAGTCAATAAAGTAAATCACACACAGCCTTCAAAATTTATTTGGGACATAACTTCACTGTAAGCTTGACTGCATGAAAAATAGTACATGGAGTGGCCTGGCAACATGCTGGGATTTCACTGATCTTTGAAGGAATACAGAAACACCCACAACTTTTATTCAAAATGAGGAAGACATAGAAATGTTATGGGCACATATGGTGACAAGTTTTCTGAAATTCCACTATCTTGGCTTACACTGAGAAATTTGTGAAAGAAACTGTTAAAAAGCAATCGACAGAAAAGTTAGGGTTTGTTTCTTGCTGGCTAATTAGAATATGTAGTCTTACCCTGACTCCACAGGGATCCTTCTGGGAAGATGAAATGATAAGTGAACCTGATATATCATCCAGAGTATTTATTTATGTGAGTTCAAGTGTGTGACTATTGACAAGCAGTAGATCCAACACTTATCCAGATTAGTGCAGGTCATTCCTCTCACCGTGTACACATTTGTCTGAATATTTACATGTAGGTAATAGATAAGCAATTGGTGCTTGACATCTGTGTTGGAGTCTACTCACAAAGATGAAATCTGTGTCTATTTTGGCAGAGTTACTGTTGCTTCCATGCCCAATATGTCCTTGATGTTATCAGGAAATACACGAAGTCACGCGCATGAGTACTGAAGCCAGCACCCGGGTGATGGAGGAGGATGTAGCAGTTTGGGCACTGCTGCTGTTGGGTTCAGAAATCCGGTAATGATTTTTTTCCTAAAAGAACAGAGTTTGACTTTAGTTACCATGAAGAAAATAACTGGATAACATAACTTTAAATTGTAGAGGCTATGTGCTTATTTCTTCTGCATTAGCCAAATTCACAAAGCAACTGTTACATATGAAGACTTGGCCTCCCAAGAAGTATTGCTAATGTTGGCATTGATTTTATGAATATTCTAGAAGCATGCTGAGGGAAAAGATATGGGTCGACATTAGGCAGAGAAAGAAACTGTGAAACATATTATTCCTAAAAGATTTGTAACAAACAAATATTTCTGCAAATCAGCTGATATTTCTTAGAAATATGGAAGACCTAGAAGTGATTGGGCATGGAAGGGAAGGAAAAAAGAATTCCAGTCATCAAGAGTAGTCCAAGAACATGGGAAGTAACTGAAGAGCAAGAAGTAGATTCTCCTCTGCCTCTTCTGAGACTAAAATACTTTCCTGAATTGTTCAGCTGATCTTGTGACAAACATCTTGAGGTTTCATTTTGGGGCTGTCTAATCTTATGTTCATTGAAAAAGGACATTGTTATTTAGAATTTTTGAGATGAATTGTATGCAGACAATCTTCTTCTTACCATTCTTTCTGCCACAGTAAACACTTAGTTTAGCAGAACCCAGAATTATCTGTTACCATGAGCCAGTCATAAACTGTCTTTCTAGAGAATTTATTTAAAGTGTATCCTTATGTTTTTCTGGCAGTCTGTCCACAAATCAAATCTGGATGTCCAATGCTTAGTTGAAGGTACATGAATAACACTTTTTTACCCAAAAACATCTAATCAGTTTTCCTTGTCCTTTAAAATGAAATCTGAACTTCTGAACTTTAATCTGACTTTTTTTTAACAGTTAAAAGCCTGTACTAAAAATACTCCCAAGTCACATTTTTAGAACTTGAGTTCCACACTACTTGCTTCACTCTGAGAGCCAGAAAAAGTGCTCAGTAGATTTAAAATTCCTCTGTTCATAGAGACGTTACTGTGCAGTACTAGGTGTAAGATGTGAAATAGATTCCATTACACCTCCTCGATGACTATGAAAATGTTTCAGCAGTCTTTGTCATTTTGAAGAGCTCTTGAACTAACTGAAAATTGTGTCAGGAACTGACGCTACTTAACCTGATTCTATGGAAGAACACTTAGGATGTGGCAGGAAGGGACCTTATGGTTGTGCTGATGATCTCTCTCTTCTTGCCTGGATCAAACAGGAAGAAAATTTGAAATAATACAGGAAAATTATCTAGTGCTAAAGGTACTTCGATACATAACATAGTTCTAGTGTAAATGAATGTAATATAGTGAGACAAGAGTATTTGTTGGATAGCTGTCCTTTGTGTGTATGAAGAGGGGAAGTGCTATTTATACTTTGTGATTTTATTCTGCATGGAAACAGTAGAGAGGTACAAAAACAACAGCATTACTAATTTCATCACGGTACAGAAAGGGTAAAATTATTAGCTGTCTCTGCACTGATGACTCACTAACCTTCCTCACGCTTGTGCCATGGTGACAAGGTTTTCTGGGTCCTCACGACTGAGGTGCTCTTATGCAGACAGCGAGGAGGGGTTTCAAAGGCTTTTAAACACAGAAGACCCAGATACTTTAAGAAGAAGAAATGTATTTTTCTCGACACCTGTGAGACTGTAGACACTAGTCCTTGAAAAAGTAGTGTTTAAAGTGAAACCCTGAAAGAATTGGAGAGTTTTTCTTTATTTCTAACCTCTGAGTCTGACACCTCCTTTAGACTTTATTTCACAAAAATAGAGCTTCATCAGTATTTGTGTGTTTTGAAAGCAGATCACAAAATCATGAAGTTATAGGAGATAATTCATCCTAGAATAATAAAGGGCCTGAATGTATCCATCAGCATGTCTGTTACAGATGGTTAAAGGCTGTAGTCTGTGTTCAGCCATGGTTCTTGCCAATGGTTCCAATAGTGATGGTGGCACTGATGGTTCCACTTGTCCCAGCAAATGCTAAATTCCTTGTCTTTGTTCAATGGATTGAAACAATCAGCACTAGCAAAGGAGGAAATTAAATATATTAATCAAAGGCAGGAAAGAAAGATATAACAATTCTTAAACTGTAGTGTACATTAGATATTGGAATTGTTTCAGCACTGTGTTCAGTTATCAGAAAGGACCAAGTTATGGCTAAGTTCACCCCATTTTTCAGGTTCTTGAAAGAAGCAGTTTGGTGGCATCCATATAAACATATGACATCTGATTAATATTACTTGAGTGATCTATTGCATGGATACTTGAAGAACAAGGGAATATGGTATGTTCATCACAAATTCAGACTGAGTAGGCATGTCATTGTCATGAAAATGCATTGTAGTCACATTGTTCTGGTCCAATAATGCTGAAGCTCACTTCTAAGCTCACTTCTATAATCATCCACCTATTCTATCACATAACTAGAATAGATGCCATTTCCAGTTCCTTAACTTCCTACAGATTTGTCTGTCTGTGGTTTATTTTTTTTAGTAGTACAAAGATTTAATCATAAAGCTTCTTTTTTGAGATGTCTAATAGTGGCAGAAAGCTGAGGGGGTGGAGGGAAGTAATCAATGTTTGCATCCTGTGGCATTCGGCTTCAATTATGCTGCTGAAACCTGGAAGCTGTGATGTTTTAAAGCAATCATCTAGTGTTACGCATTACAGCTATTCTGGAATCTCTAGTTTGCTCATAGTTTATGCTATAATTACTGCAAATATATCCCTCATTCCTTAAATTAGGCTGCAGGTATTGAAGCAAGTTATGTAGGCATCTGATAATTAGCAAGAGCTAGTAATAATAAAGTAACAATCACAAAAGAAAGCAAGGAAAATATGTCCTGCTTTCCATTGCAAAATTTTCAGAGAGTCACTGATGTCATTCAAATGTCAGCTTACCATACACAACACACAGCTCTTATGTTTCTTTTTTCACTGTAATCTGATAGGCATTTTGTACATAAACTTCAGGTACTAAAACTGCCTCTGTCCTAATACTTGGACATTGTTCCAGTCCCCACACCTTAGTGCCATTTAAGAATGAGAAAATACAAGGTGCCTCTCTGTAATGATAATAATGTATATTTTGTCCCATTGGTGCCTATCTTCCAAGTCTCCCTTGGTTTAGTTTTTAGTTTCTCTTTCCGATATAAATTATTCTCAGTGCATGAGAACTATGTACTTACTCTAAGCTGAAACATTAAAAGACAAAATAGTTGTGCCTTTACAAATGTGATGAGAGAAGATGGATATCTCCCCAGCAACACTGAAGACTTGAATTTCCTTAACTCCTCCATTATTTTCATAGGGTGTTCTATTTGTGGAATCAGCAATCGCCAACAATTTCCATTTTTCTAAGCAGAATAAAATATTAAGATCAGGTAATATAAAAAAGGATCAAAACAAACCCCCACGTAACCAAAAGTAAAGTGGATTAGTAGAGAATAATGTAAGATCATGTCACACTTACATGATATCCTTTTAAATTACTCACACCTATAGTATTGTAACAGCTATATCATTTATAGTGATGTACTATCCTTACTATAATAACTCTTCATACGTTTTTGGTTATTCATGCCATGCACTGTGGGATACACTGATCATGTTTAGATCCTTATAGCGGATTAGAAAAGAGGGAGGAACTGTATGATAAAGCTGAAAAACAGTTTGGTTTTTTTTCTCAAAAACTATTCTTTAGCTTTTAGTCATCTGGTAGCTTATTTGTACTCAGTATTAGCCTCTCAGGGCAGCACTGGTCCTGCACCCATCCCTTCACATTACTGTACAGACAAAGACAATAATGAACTAAATTTCTTCTTGTTTTTTTTTTTGTTTGGGTTTTGTGGTTTGGCTTTTTTAAGGAATTTCAGCTGTAGGCTTACTGGTTTGGCTGCCTGCAGACACACCTAGAATGCTTGTGAAGGTACGTGGTTTCTTGGCTCTAGTGAGAACTTTAGACAGATTGGTTTAAGAGGAAGTACTTTGGAGATATCTGATGAGAAATTGCTCTGTGCTTAACACATTGCTCTGGACAAGAGAATGAAAATAAAGAAATGAGATTTCAGGTGATAACCTCCTGAAAACAAAGAGCCAGATTATTAGAACTGGGACGTGGTCAGAAGTTTGTGAATAAAATAGCCATGACATCTTACTTGAGTTTCTGCCACTGGAATTGTGTTTCAGATGTGTGCTGTGCACAGGGAGTATATCTCCTGTACATGAGAACATGCTACTGTCTTCTGCATTCCCACTGCTCTTCCTTCTCTTTGCTATGAGCTAACCAGGTGTTGACATTCAGGTCCTCTTACCATTGTTTTGATGTACTACCTGAGATAAAGCATTGAACTTGAATTGCAGCAACAAGAATCTAGAAATAAAATTCAAAATGAATGTATTTTGATAATGTTTGTGGCTTTGGAGCTACATTTTTTTTTACAAATAAACACATTAAACTTTTTTATTGCTATATGTAAAACTCTCAACAGACAGAGGAGTAGAGGAATTCAGTACATGATTTTGGGTTCAGGATATGATTTTCGGGGACTTGAACCTGTCCTACATATTGTGTAGCTACAGACATGGCATTTCATTTCCCTGTGCCTTAACTTCCCACCTGTGACATGGGAATGGAAGCACTTCTACCTCTCTTCAACCTGCTGTGATGAGAAATAAATATTGGGGACTACTTAGATGCCGTAATAATGGATACAAATTAAACCCATTACATATAAATTGATGGAGCTGTCGTGATTATTGTGGATTACTGTGAACAGATTCAGGGCAACTGGACTGGTGGTCTTGGGGAAAAAAAAAAAAAGGAATGGGTGTGAGCACGTTTGAGAGAGTGAAGCCCCCGTTTTTCAGCGTGTAACCGAGGTAAATTCGCCTCTTTTGCAGTTGGAAGGGCCGTAGGCTTTCCGAGGGCAGGCACGGCCGCGGCGCTCCCCTTTGCCGGCCGCCGCCCCGAGGCGCCCTCACCGG